TTCACTGCTTCACTTCCACCTCCTCTCTCTCCTGCTGTCTGTTTGCATGTGTGTGAGTTGGTAGAAACTCTCTGGTGTGACGGATGCCCCGAGGGCGCTCTCAATAGAAACTTCTAACAGCTCTTGATGTAAAATGGTTGGGAGCAGTTTGGCATCAGGGACTTTCAAAGACAGGAAGAGGTGTGCAGGATGTCATGCTGCTGTTTTGCATGTTGGATTTAGGAGAGCATCCCCAGCAATGCCAGCTGGCCCAACAGTGACAGGCACGTTGACCAGGAGGACGCGATCGAAGCCTACCAGGGGATGTGTGAGACCAACCGGTAAGTGTGGCCCGAATTCTTCCAGCAGCAGGAGGGGCTGACCAAAGGGAAAGAGGTGGAATCCGGACCAAAGCGTGAGACGTGGGATCCAGGCCAAAATCAACAACATGTTTTTCAAAGAGTTACCTTCTGGATTGTGTTATGGGCCTTGGGTCAAGGATGGGCCACAAAGATGGAATCAAAGACGCGTGTCTTACGGAATCGTAGAATCCTGGAATGTTTTGGGTCAGAAGGGACCTTAAAGATCATCTAGTTCCAACTAGTTCTAATGGGTGAGGAGCCCTCGTTGTTAGGGCTGTGTGTGTCTGCAAGAGAGGGGAGATCCTGAGCAGGTGGGAAAGCAAACATGAAAGCGAGCAAAACTGGATTTTGACTTTGCTTCCAGTACATAAATAGCAGCAAGACTAAGATTTGGGATATGTGAGTTACTTACTTCAAGTATCTCATACTGTGCTGAGAAGACAGCACGGTCCCCTTCTGATTTTCCCAGAGGCAAAAGCCTGTTGTGGTTAACTGAACTAACAAACATGCTGTATTCCCTGGAAACACTCACATTATTGCTTTTCTTGCATCCAAACCGAGTGTTGGGAACATCTGTTTGATTACAGGTTTACCATAGTGGGGGTTAATTCTGTGAACATGTGTCTGTCCTTACAGTAACAATGGGCTGATATTGCTAAGCATCGGATCATCCTTGCAGTTATCCAGGAGGATATCAAATAATAAAGTAGTGCCTTGCAAGAAGACAAAATTACATGGATTTAACAGCAAGATAGTATGAAAAGTAAATTTTTATTTCACTCCAAGGAAATTGAATGTTTATCTCTTATTTTCTCTCGACAAATACAGATGTTTGAGACTATTTTCCCCTAAATAATTTCTATTCATCAAGATAGAAGACAAAGCCATTGTGGATTAATGGCTTTTAATAATAACACAATATACTTTGCCACTTTTTAGAGGGGTTGCAGAAGGTTGCTAACAGTCCAGGATGCGACAGACCATGACTTAATGAGGATTTTATTCGTACCTTTATGAATATGAGGAAAGGCACGTGATCAAGGCCAGGTTGGATGGGGCTCTGAACAACCTGGTCTAGTGGAAGGTGTCCCTGCCCATGGCAGGGGGGTTGAATGAGAGGGGCTTTAAGGTCCCTTCCAACCTAAACCAGTCTGTGATTCAATATTTCACTGAAATATAAAATAATTCTGAAGAGTTGCTTAATGCTTTCAGAACTGGATGGCCAAAAAGGTGCGATGGGAAAGAGAGATTTCTGGGCAAAAATTCAGTGTATATATAGCTGTGTGGTGAACTTTGGTCATCACATCTGTGCTGTATTTCCTCCAAATTCCTGCCATAGAATGTGCTGGATTTTCTGAGTTTGCGTCCATTTTCCTTCTTGTGAAAGCCCTGGGAGAATCTATGGAGACCTCCTGGTGTGTGAGTACAGAGGTGGACTTGCTGGAAGGGCTGGGTTCCACATGCATCCCATTTAAACAGAGTTTAAAACCCTGATGGCTGTGCTGAGGCTCTGCCCAGGCTAGTTCTGCCAGCTTTCGTCTTGGCCCAGGGACCTGGAGGAGTGAGGATTGTTGGGGTCCAGGACTCTGGTTACACTGGTTTCTCACCTGAGCATCATGTCTGGCTGGATCAGGACCACTGTTTGTGGGTTTTTTTCAATTGCCATTGAATATTTGCTTTCCTGAACTGAACTTGCTGATGAAATTTCTGCCCCTCCTGTGATAGAGATGATAAAATTAATTTGAACACCACATTCATTCTTGTCAGTAAATCAGCGGGGCTCAGTGTGCTTCCAGCAGCAAGGCGTGTTTTTTGGTCACTTAATGAATTCTGTGAATTTTCTCTTTTTTCCTTCCAACGTTCTCCTGGAGCTGTGAGCACTGATGAAATCCCACTGTCAGGCACAGCTTGAATTACTCCCTGAGTTTTCCAGTGTGCCTGCATAGGGATGGTTGGTTTGTGTTCAGAGGTTGGTGAAAGAGTCAAAATAAGAGTTGCTGCTTTTATAAGACGTGTCTGACCAGGTTGCATCACTAGTCCCGAGTATTAATTGATATCTGGCCATAGTGGTGTACATGTTGTCTGCTGTAGCCTTCCAGGAGACTCCAGCCCTCCTTCAGATGCTCTGGTTTCCAGACTTAACTCCTGCAGAGAGAATTGAATCACGGAACCATTTGGATTTGAAAGTATGCCTCAGGTCCAACTGTTCCCCCAGCACTGCCAAGCCCAGCACTAACCCATGTGCCCAAGTGCCACATCTGCACAGCTTTTAAATCCCACCCAGGGTATATAATTTTCCAGGATCTGATTTACTTTCCCTGCAATTGCACAGGTGAGCTGCAATTCTAGGAAGTTCACGTGGCCCAGCCTTGGTGGGTTTTGGCCTCTTGAGTTTTGGGAAGGGAAATCTGCTGTCTCCAGGCTCAGTTTCCTATTACCTCTCTCATCTCTCTCTCATATGAAGCTTGCCTGGAGTTTGGCTCTTGTAAGACAGCAGCAGTAGCTCTATATACTCTTACCCTGATTTTCTGTGTTGATTTATCCAGTGGCTCGTTAACCACCATCAGCTTTCCCATCATATGGTTCCCTGTGCATTTGCTTGGGTATGGGGTTGATTTATAAAATGTAGGCTGGTGTCACTGGCAGTAAATCAGGTGAAAACAAATGCTTAGGAAGCATGGATTATTGTGTTTGTGGATATAAATGAACATTCCCTCCTCCCAGCACGAATTTGCATTTGTACTTAGGCAGCTCTGTACCCGAGGGTTTCAGCATAAGAAATAGAGCTGCTTTCCCTTTCTGATCTTGGTCAATAAATATTTTAATGGGAAGCTTTTCTGGTGGAGTTGCAATTCTGAAGTGGGATTAATAAGCAAGAGACACTTCTCCCACCTGCTCTGCAAGAATCACTCCCATTTCCCTTTCATAAAATCCTAAAATGGTTTGGGTTGGAAGGGACCTTAAGGCTCATGCAGTCCCACCCCCTGCCATGGGCAGGGACACCTTCCACTAGACCAGGTTGCTCCAAGTCCCATCCAACCTGGACTTGGACACTTCCAGGGATCCAGGGGCAGCCACAGTTTCTCTGGGAAACCTGTGCCAGGGCCTCACCACCCTCACAGACAACAATTCCTTCCCCATATCCCATCTAACCCTGCCCTCTGGCAGTGGGAAGCCATTCCCTGTGTCCTGTCCCTCCATCCCTTGTCCCCAGTCCCTCTCCAGCTCTCCTGGAGCCCCTTTAGGCCCTGGAAGGGGCTCTCAGCTCTCCCTGGATCCTTCTCTTCTCCAGGTGAACACCTCCAGCTCTCCCAGCCTGGCTCCAGAGCAGAGGGGCTCCAGCCCTTGGAGCATCTCTGTGGCCTCCTCTGGACTCTCTCCAGCAGCTCCACGTCCCTGTGCTGTTGTTCCCAGGGCTGGAGGCAGCTCTGCAGGTGGGGTCTCACCTGAGCTATTTAGGTTGGAGTCAGAGCATGGCTTTACTTTGGTGGGAGATCGACCTTGTGTTGTCTCCATGTCCATGTAATTCAGGACTTCTAAATACAGCAGGAGGAAAACAGAAAAAACTCTGCCAGGTGCTGCTGATCTTGCCCACATGGTGATTCTGTCTCCACAAAGCTTTCAGAGGAAAGGCCTTTGATTCCAGGCCAAGGGCAAGTTTGAATCAAAAGCAGCTCTTTATAAATTAAATAAACTCAGCTTGCCTTTTTTTTTTTTTTTTGTTCCTTCTTACTTTTAGCTGCTAAAGGGGAAATCATCAAGTTAGTTCCCAGATAATTTTCTGCTTCAATAACTGAGTGTAAAGCTAAGTAGGCTTTTTGTTCCCTGTTTTAATTCTTGGGATCATTCTTTGGAGCCTGTTTGATCTTGGTAGAAACATAGAGCCAAGAGAGACCAGGTGATGATGTTAGAACTAATAACCTGGCAGCTCAAAGTAAATCAGGCTGTGTCTTTGAAATTAGCTTCTGTGATAACTTCCCAAGTGATTTCTGTTGAGTACATGGATTTTATCTTTTATTTTTTTTTCTGCTGTGTAAGTCCCACCTGCAAATGCAGTGCAAAGTGAAGGGCTGATGCTGGCTTCACATGGAGGATGCTTTTGCAGCTGAAAGAGGCCATCACATGGAAAGGGTTGCTATCTCTGCTTGCCACTCTCCCATGGGTCTCTTCCCACTCTGCCATTTTGGGAAGGGAGGTGTTTGGGCAGGAATTTCTCACTTTTGATGAGGGCTGTTTGTCCCCGCTGCTCCCCAGACCTGCACCTCCAAGATAAGGAAAAAGGAGAAAGGCTTTGTGAATCAAGCACTTTCAGCTCCTCTCGGCCTTGTTTGAGAAAAGGATTTAGCCAGCATTCTAGGAAATTATGTTGTCACATACTAATTAATGCAATTAGCTTGAAAGGGCCTGTGTTTGATGGCTAATGTCTTGGTCAATCTGAACTTCTGGCAGAAAGGGGAGGTCAGTGATTTCTGAGTCAGTGCTGTGTTGATGGAGATGAGCTAAATGCTTATTTCCCAGGGCAGGTGTATCTTATATCGGCACCTGTATATATTTATTTTATATATAAATAAAGCAGCTCTTCCTTGAGCTGCTCTCCTCATTTACCACAATGCCTGTGGTTTGAAAAAAAGGAAGACAATCTATTTTTCGAAGGAGGTTACCCAGGAAAATGCATCTCTTCAAAATGCTGCTCACTGTGTGAGATTTCACAGGTTAGTGACATGCAGTAAATCGTGATGATCCTTCCTGCTTTTTTCCTTGGTTTTCAGTGCCTGAGGATATGTCCTGTTAAGATTATATGAACCAAAAAAAGAAAGACTTTACTAAGAAATAATGCAAATCAGACCAATAAACCTCTTAGTTTCTGTCAGCCTACAAACCCCTTTGGAAACCTGCTGTGTATACGGTAGCAGCAAGGTTTTAATTTAAATTCATTCATGTGGCCTTAACAGATGAACTTTGCAAATGTCAGTGCCTGAAACGTTTGCTGGTTTTGAGAAGTGCTGTACACCAGCATGGAAGGGATGTACAAACTGCCTGTGGCAGTGAGACACCTCCTGAGTCCTTTCATGGCAGTGCTGCAGCACCGTGTTTCTCACTGCTTTCCTCCTGTGAAAATTTGCTGTAGAAAGTTTGTGTGTTGTGCATTTCCAGTGAAATATGCAGAGATTTCCTTGCCGGGGAATGGCTTCTGCTACAGCTCTTTCCAAAACAGAAGATGCGTGTTGGCTGAGTTCCTTTTTTTTTTTTTTTTTTTTTTTTTTTTCTGAAATATAATGATATATTAAGTTTGGAGGTTGCTTTGTTTACTTTTTAAATTGTTATGTCCAAAAAGAAAAGCTGTTTTCTAACTGACATCGAAGCCAAGTATAATCTTGTTATAACAAGTGTTTCTGGTCAAATTGACCAGCTTACATCACTCATTTGTAATGTGTTCAGCACCTCATTAAGGGAGATAAATGAGTTTCTTGCCTCATATAACTTGAAAAAAAAAAACCCCAAACAACAAAAACAGGAACATTCTGCTAAACGGAGACTTCTAGTATGAAGGTGAGATGAGACTTTTCTGGGCATTTTTCTGCCTGGATGGATATAGAGGAGATTTGATCTTGCAGGGATGTAAGTGGTGTTTGGACCAGGGGTTGCTCTGAGGAAAGACTTATATATTTGACTCAATATTTGAGGAAACCCTGAACTGAAGTAGAAGGAGGATAATTTATTTTAGGCAGTGGGAGTTGCTGCAGAAGGAAGGAAATGGAGAAACTTGTCTTAAAAATTCCATGTTAGGGAGATATAAAAACAGCAGTTGGGAATTATGATAACCTGCCAGGAGGTTGGACTGGATGATCTGTGATGATCCCTTCTGACCTGAAGGATTTTGAGTTTCTGTTGGCAAGATCACTTGCCCAGCTGGGCAGGGAGGAGAAGCTCCACTAGCTAGGGATGTTTTACAGGGCACAGCCAGGGCATGGTTCTCCTTCAGTGGAAAAAGAAATACAGTGTAATGAAAGTGTGTTCTATAAAATAGTATTAAATACAATTAATAAGGGTTCTGCTGCACCTTTTCTCCTTCTCTTGCAATTGACCTTTTGTCTTTCTTCTGTCCTCTTGTTTCCTTTTTCTGTCCTTTATTTCTAGCAAGACTGAGGACTGGGGGTATCTCAATGAAGATGGAGAGCTCGGCTTGGCTTATCAAGGTTTAAAGCAAGTTGCCAGGTCAAACGCTTTCTTTGTTTCCTCGCTGCTGCTTCTCCCTTCTCCTCCCTTTTGCCACCCTTTTGTTTCTTTCTCTTGCTCTGCTCTTAGCCTCTGGTCCTCTGCAGGACCTGTTGTCTTCTCTGGGAGCAGCTGAAGGTGGGGTTTCCAAACCAGGAGAATTGAGACCCTTCTCTAATTTTCAGGGGAATTGTTGTGATTCTGGCTGGGCATTGCTGATGGTGGCTGTTGCCACTAATACCTGAGCTGTGATTCATTAAGGATTATGTTAAGTTAATGGGAAATTGGGTGATAAAGGTGTTGGGAAGCTGTGACCTCCAAGAAACCAAAAAACCCCTCTCATTTTAGATACATATATTTTTTTTAGTGAAATTGCACTAATATACAGCACCTCCCTAAAGTGTTTTCTCCCAGTCCTTGACTTGTAAGAAGCTCCCTGTGCTTGTATTCCAATGCTGTCACCTTTGCTTGCTCCTGGGGACTGTGTGTTCCCATCCATGAGTTGTCCACAGGTGTAAGGAGGAAGGCACGTGGTGCAAATACAGTGCCATCCTTCCACAGCTCTCCCCACATCCTGGTCTGCTGGGCAAATATCCCACAGGGACACACTGGGGGACTCCTGGATTCTTATCCTGTTTCAACCTAGTCTTTGGTGGTTATGGGGCTCCAGTATTTTTATAAGAGATTTAAGGGCATTATAGAGATGAAAACCTGAAATATTTTGTATAAAGCAGTCTAAAGTGGTCACGTGTAGAGGTATCAGGGTAAACCCAGACCATAACAGGGAAAAATAACAGGGATGATTAATGTGTTTTTCCAAGCAATGTAGGAACCCAAGTTCATAAGAAGGAGTGTGTTCTTCTGAGGGTGTCTCATGGTTAATCCAGACTGAATCCAAACTAATCCCAATATGAAGAAATAAAATGGAAATTAAGTGCTTAATACTTATTTCATGGTGGGTCTGTATTTTCCAAGCCTCTTAAGAATATAACTCCTGACAGGATTATGAGGCTGAGTGCATTATTGCCCGTGTTTCTATAGGAGGAAAACATGCTTTTCTGTCCTTTGCTGCAAAATGGGAGTAGAGATTGCGTTGTTTAATCTTCTAAAGACATTAACAACAACAACAACAAAACACCATGGGGAATAATTACTACTTTTCACCCAGAAATCTTTCCTAGAAAGCATATTTTTTTACACAAGCTGTGAAAGAAAAAACACAAAACAACAAAAAAAAAATCCCATGCCTAATTGTTCCTCCAGGGAAACAGTTCATGGTGAACCTGAAAGAGCTGTAGCTTTTTCCCCCCTGGCCCAGCTCTGTGTCTGTGCTTGTCCTGGGTAAATGCAAAGCTATTGACACTACAATCTTCCTCATCTTTGGGGACTGCTGTTTGCATCTGATGTCAGAAGAGAAGCCTGTGACCTGGGTGTGTGGTGATCCATAGCTCTGCCTAGGAGATCACATCCTTGAGCTACAGCGGGGACATGGGCTTGATTATCTCCTTGGGTCATTCTTCCTCTTTGCCACCATCACCCTCTGTAATCTGGGACTAATACTTTGCAGTTCTTGGCCTGATGGCCCTTCCTCAGAGCCCTCCTACCTTTTGGAGTCACTTATTTTAGTCTTCTGAAAGAGCTGGTGGACTAAGAGGAGATTTCTATTTAGCAGAGGGTGGGGACACCCCCAAAGAATCAATCGCTATGTCACCTGCTGAGTTTGTCATCACCAGCACAGGCGTCTACAGTTAACATCTCGGTGATGACTCCTTCTTCCACTGGATTTAAAAAGGCATTCTGGCACTGCCCCCCACATCACATCCCTTTGCCACAGCTGTCCTTGTGCAGAGGCTCAGGGCAGGGCTGGAAGGTGACCTGGAAGGTGTAGGTGAAAGGTTGGTAGGAAGGGTTGGCAGGACAAATTGTTAGAGGAAAATGTTGAATGCACACCTAAAAGTGGAAGAAGGGGGTGGTTTTGGTGACTTTTCTCAGGAGTAATTTCTCAGCAAGAAATTACTCAGCAAGAAATTACACGTCTCACCAATGAAAACCTGGTAAGAGGTTGTGCTGAAAGCACAGGAAGAGGGGAAAGAAACAGGTTGAGAGAAAGGAGATAGGAAACATGACGGGGAGGGCAGGGCACAGGGATCTCTTCCACTCCTTCAGAACCATCAGCATCTCCCTGGTGCATTTGGGAACACTGGTGCCTGACCTCAAGCTGATGTTCTATTGCTGTATGACTTTTGTGACTACATAGGTACTTTTTTTTTTTTAAAGATTTTTTTTAAGCCCGTCTACTTTGTGGCCCTGCCTACCAAATTATATCACTGGGGGTGCCTCTACTCTGTCATTACACACAAAGACCCACACAATCCTTTCATCTCTCTTGCGTTTTCTGGAAGTGTGGAGGGGCAGTTGCCACTCCAAAAAGTTGGCCTGCCTGATCATAAATTTTCCCTTTCTCACCTTCTGTTATCTGTGTGCAAGGTCCGGAGGGAATGTTGGCACCTCCTGAGTTCAGGTGAGGGCTTCTTGCCTTTGCCAAAAACCCTAGTATCTAAATGGTGTTTGAACTGTTTAATCGTGATTAACAGCCAGGATTAAACACTGTGGGTGGTGAGTATTACTTGCTGTAGAAAGCAGGTGCCCAGCATTCACAGTCTTTGTGGTGTAGGTAAGGGTCTTTCTGAGCAGTCCAGAAACAACACAGCTCTTCTTCTACTAACATACTCCCACCATGCTACGGTGATTCGTAGACCAGACATCAGCCTTAAATTCACCCCAGATGAGTTGTTCTTGAGCTTAATGTTGGGGGTAGTTTTTAAAAAATGCATCTTACTTTTTCCAGGACCTGAAAGAATTGGTAGAAAAGTTGGAAAAGAATGAAAAGAAGCTGAAGAAACAGCTGAAGATTTACATGAAGAAGGTCCAAGATTTTGAAGGTGACTTTACTGTTGGAAGGCACTGGGATGGGGGAATTGTATTTGTAATTTGCTTCTTTGACCAGCCTTGGAGAGCTGCAAGGGTTTTTTTTTTTTCTCTTTTTCTTTCTATGAAAGTAAGATTTTGCTCATTCTGGTACCGAACTAGCAGCAGGCACTGAGCTGACACTGACCTTGTACTGAGGTTTGGAGGGTGTTTAGAGACCTTTTTGCTTTCGTTGCATTCAATGCAGTGATCCAGGCAGAGGTGCAGAGAGGAGACTAGTGGCTATCAGGCAGATGCTCTGATCTGTCAATTTTGAGGAGAGATTGCAACCCTTTAGGAATGAAAATATATATTTATATTCTGCTTGATGAGAAAACACCTCAAATGTGACATCTGTGTTGTGCAGAAAGAGCTTCCCGTTCTCTGGAGAAGCCGTGATTAATCAGAGGGCCCCATTCTCATGAGCTAATTCCTGGAAACGAGGCATTAAGTGAAATTAAGCTGAATAACTGGAGAGTTTCCATGGCTCACCCAGCTGGTCTCTGTCAGTGTGATTTGCATGCTGTTTGCTGCAGTATTTGCATGCTGGTCTCTTCTGCTTTATTAACTTGAGCGGTGCCACCATGGCTCTGCAGCTTTGCAGACAGACAGAAGATGTGATGCTTAGGGATTTATCACTGCCTGTCTACTTTTTCCCCCCCTCTCTGCGAAAATCATACCCTAAAAAGCTTCCCATAGGATTACCACCTTCTAGCCTCTCTTGGAAAATAAAAATGGCTTCATTTTTTCCTCTCCTAAGTTCAACTTTTGCACTTTTTCTTTCATTCAGGGTCTGAAAACTCTGACTGGTAATTCAAGGCCTGGTTGTTTATATTTTTTTATAGGTCTGTCAAAGCTGATGGCATTATTGGGAATTTATTATGTAACTCTTTGACTTGGTGTCTGCACTTAGGCCGTTGCAGGACGTGAATAGTTCTTGATTTCCAGGTACCACCATTTGTGCTCTTCTCTCCTCACAGCATCCCAAACCACGCTGCCAGCAGACAGGAGGCCACACGACAGTAACATGCAAGTTGCTGTCCAGAGGAAGGAGAAAGATTTTCAGGGCATGTTGGAGTATTACAAAGAAGATGAGCCACTCCTCATCCGAAACCTCATTACAGGTGAGGAATTTCCTCTGCTCCTCTGCCTGACTCGTGCTTCTTTTGCCTGGGAGCGTTTGTGAACTTGTGAGATCAAGGTAGACAAATAGATCATCTCAAATTAATCCCTTCTGGGGCTGCATGTTTGTGGTGATGGCAATTGGGGTAGGTAAAGTAGCTGCACTAAGCATGTAGACCTGCATGGATGTAATCCTTAGGGATAGCAAAAAATTGGAAATGCAAAACAAGGCTGCAGTTTTTAGAGCAGGCAGTAAGTTGCTGATGTAGTAATAGATGGGGAGGGGGTAGCAGAAGGATAGACCGTGGGGATTTGGAACAGCAGTGGAACAAAGGCAGTTTGGTTTATGAGGTAATAACAGATAACAGATAATGAACCTGTGAGCTCTTCTCTGCTGCACAGACTGATCAGAATTGCTGCAGCATCCCCCTGTTCTGTGCTGTTTGAGAAGCCTTGTGAGGATCCAAAAACTGTTCAAAGAGAAGTGCTACTCATTGCTGTGGTCTTTGAACTTCCCCTAATCAGACAGGCTTGTTCTGTAGAGGCTACAAGTGCCTTCAGCTACCATTAGGATTCCATATCTTGATGGAAGGAGAGATTTACTATGTCATCAGTTCAGAAGAGGGGGGGTTATAAACTGTGGCAGGTACACCTGAAAGCTTCGGGGGGCTTTTCTGAGGTGATTTGTGTCCTGCTGGGGTAGGCTTTTACGTGGTGAAGAAGCTCTAACCCTACCTGTGCATCCATCAGGTGTAGTGGGATGCTGTCACACACCTCAGTGCAGACAGTGCTGCCCTCCCAAGCCCCAGTGCTGTGGCTCCTCAGCAGGTCCATCTGTCCTGCAGCTGGACCTCTGGTTCTGTGTCCATGCTGCAGAGAGGGATGCAAGTTGCAGAGCCAAAACATCATTTTCCCCAGGGCTGGGGAAAGAAGGGTTTGCCTGGGTGCGTCTCCAGGTCTGGTGTTCTCTGCTTTACTTGTCGGTTGGTAAAATTTTAAGTTTGTTTTTTGTGGGGTTTGTTTGCTTGTTTGGTTGGTTGGTTTTTTAATTGTCAAATCTTCTAGATCTCAAGCCCCAGGCAGTGTCTGCTACTGTTCCCTGCCTTCCTGCCTACATCCTCTTCATGTGCCTCAGACATGCAGATTACATCAATGATGACCAGAAGGTGCACTCCTTGCTTACTTCCACCATCAATGGCATTAAGAAAGTGCTGAAGGCAGGTGTCCCTTTGCTCTTGTCTTGGGGTTGAGATGCTGTAAAATGGTAATAACCATGTCCAAGTCTGTGATATTCAGCTCTTACGGTGATTTGCAAGCCAAATCACTCTTAGAGCTTCCCTTTTTAGAACAACAAGGAGAATTGTGATCTAAGCAATAGAACTGTTTGCATTTATGGATTCTTTTTAAAAAAAAGCTTGTAGGGAGGAAGTGACTAATACTGCCCATCTGCAGAGAGGAAGCTGCCTGATTCTAGGTGGAGAAACTCAAAATTGCCTTGTCTTGCTATGCCAACATCCCCCAAGGAAGGGGAGGGGGGATCTCACAGGTTTTAATATCGTTTCTCCAGAAACACCACGATGACTTTGAGATGACGTCGTTTTGGCTGGCGAACGTGTGTCGCCTCCTACACTGCCTGAAGCAGTACAGTGGAGATGAGGTAAGAAACCATCACTGGCCTGGAGTGTGTTGGGATTCCTCCAGGGAGGCTCCTTGAATCTCCTGGATGCAGTGGCTTCCCTCTAACCCTCCCTGGGATGACCTCTGACTTCCCTCCTTTGTTAATCTAGTTATAACATGAGGCAGCTCCTGGAATTTTAAAATCCCAGAATGTTTTGGGTTGGAAGGGACCTAAAACCCCATCTTGTTCCACCCCCTGCCATGGGCAGGGACACCTTCCACTAGACCAGGTTGCTCCAAGCCCTGTCCAGCCTGGCCTTCAACACTTCCAGGGATCCAGAGGCAGCCACAGCTTCTCTGGGCAACCTGTGCCAGGGCCTCCCCACCCTCACAACCAAGAATCCCTTCCCCATATCCCAGCTATCCCTGCCCTCTGGCAGTGGGAAGCCACTCTCCCTTGTCCTGTCCCTCCAGGACCTTGTCCTAAGTCCCTCTCC